GTAATACTCTAATGGTAGCATATAGAAAGCTCTTCAAAAACAAGAGTATCCTATGCAGATCTATACCAAATAGTGTAATACAGCATCCAAAAATTCACAACCTGAAAAGCATCTGGATGCTACAGCGAGAAAGTCAAATAATAGGATTATGTAATAGACTAAATGATCCTGGTTCTGCAGGAATTACAACAATTATCTGACTCAAGCAAGCACAAATAAAGAATTGGAAACCGCTTAATCTATTAACATGCAACTTTCTGAATCACCTACCAGATAAGGGAAACTTCACGCTTCAAGTAATTAAGTTGGTTAAAAATATAGAAATGATCTTTCACAGTTGAAAATGGCAAAAAATCTTCGAATGGAGCAAAGGAAATTGTTTAATTAAGGAATACCTTACAATAGAAGAATATAGAAAAGCTATACCATCACTAAGAAACAACAAACTACTGTATGTAGACCAGCTAATCGATCAAGCTACTAAAGAAATTAGGGATTGGCGAATGCTCTAACTACTTCAGTACACCAGTAAAGGTCCCATTCCTGAATGGTTTGAAGCTTTAATCAAAACTCTCCCAAGTAATAGAGTAGGCCAACTCATGAGTACGTGGAAAAAAGATTGAACAAAGTGAAAACCAGAATATGCTGCAATTAATTCAGACTGTGACAAACAACAAAAACTATGGATAATGGCAAAGATAGCTGGATATCATGTAATCTAGGGAAAACTACAATAGACAAAAATAGGACATAAAGTCAATATTGAACACTTCAACTGCTATAGTAATAATAATACTCAAACGATGATATTAACAAGATACCCAGGATACCCAGAGGGTACAAAACAAGAAGGGGGATGTATATTAGAGAGAGATATGAAAGATGCATATGAAGTTTCATATCTCAATACAAGAAAGTCAATCAGAAGAGCTCAAGAACTAACAATCCCCTGTCCCAAGGTATCACTAGAAGGAACAATGGAAAAGGTTACTAATATAAATCCAAACCCTCAAACCATAGTTCCAACCAATATAGTGAATTGGGTAGATATCGAAAAATATGAAGAGGTCATCATTAGAGACAATGTTATAGAAGGAGTATATCAGGACCACCTAATAAAAATACTTCAACATAATTTGAGATCCAATGTTAAAAAACTAATCTTCTACTCTGATGGATCACTCATTAATCATAGAAAGGAAGAAATGAAAATGGGAGCAACATGGATTCAAATAGAAGATATGGATAGAGAAAGTAGATTTCAGATAGGAGTAGACAGTTGGCCCTTCTCAACATGTACTGAACTTGTAGCAATTGTCACAATACTTCTGATAGGGCCAGTAGGTAGCAACATGAAAATCCATACAGATAGCCAGGCCTGTATCTTCAAGTGAAAAACAATAGAAAGAGAAGATTCAAAGCAAACTTACAAAAGATAGTTAAAGGAAAAAAAACTGATCCCTATGGGTACGAATGTTAGAATTGGTAAAGAAAAAGACAATAAACCTGCAACTTATCAAGATTAAGGCACATTCCAATGATCCCCACAATGAAGAAGCAGATGTCTTAGTCAAATAAGCTCTGAAACTTCCAGCAATAGAATGGAAAGAGCTAACCTCATACAGATCATCATAGAAATTAGATGGCAAGAAAAGATACTGGATAATTCAATAAGACAGTTTGTCAAAAAAGTAAACAATAAAACAACTGCCTTCAAGTAGACACAACAAAACAGAACTGAAAAAAGATGGAACTACCAAATTATAGAACAGCAAGATCATACTTGGGACCTTGTATAGAAAATAATAAAAGAAGGACACATCTGGAACACTTCCTTTAAACAATCGCAACAAAAAAGCTTCCTCATAAAACTAATGAACAATGAACTACCAACTCTGAACAAGCTGGCAACTAGAAGGTCCAACCTTTATAAACAAGTTAAATATATTGCATGTAGTCAACAAAGGAAAACTTTCGAACATTTATTAGAGTGTCCAGTATACAAGAAACAATTATAGGAAGAATGGAATAAAGGACAAGATGGGATCCTTAGGACTTCAGAGGGCTCTTACAAGAGAGAAAAAAAGAGGCAGAAGAAAAACATGCAAGATTGATTATCCATGGCAAAGAAGAAATGGCTGAGGTGAATAAATAGATCTCTAAACTGATAGAGCAGATCTCAAAAACCAGTCAGGACACTCTAAGTTTTTGCACAGGGCTAGTAAGGAAAGACTTAATTCTAAAAATGGCAGATCTGAAATGCCATGGAAAAAGAATTGATAATAATGCAAAAATATGGATATCAAAGATGCAAAGAAGAGTATGCAACCAAATAAGGAAAAAGATTTGGAACAAAAGATGTAAGAAGATAATCGAATGGAAATATTCACAGGAAATCTGCAAAGTAGAAAAAATTAACTGACCCTCAGGCACACACAGCTTAAAACCATCAGTTCTCAAAAGTAAAGATCCTTTACCAGAGGAAGAAACTTAAGAAAATAAAAGCCTAAAAGAAATTCTACTCAAAGGTATTACTTATGGAATGAAATGGTTGGGTTTTAAACTAGGTCAGAACAATAGATGGTGATCTGCAGTAGTGATCTGTGGGCAATGATATTAAAGGTTGGAAGGGTATTTACTTGAACCATTAATGGAGTGATAATTACTTTTGAAGTTGCACTTAGAGTTTTGCTATATTAAGTCAAAACAGTGACAAGTGAGTTAGATAAAGTCTTAGCTTTAGCAAATCATTTAAAATGTACAGTATATAAATATTTAATAAAGCATATGTACCTAGCTTGACCTAGGATTATTAAAAAAAAAATAGTACAAAGAGCTACCTATTTACGTCTCATCCAATCAGAATAAAATAGTTACATGACTATCTAGTGTAGGTATCTACTTACAAAAACAAACCACGAAAAGATGGAAAATATAAAAATATACACTATGTCAATTTTCTATTTTATATATCGAAACTCTCTAGAGTGTGGCTATCGGCCAACTCATTGAGTGGCTTATTGTTACTCCAAAAAGAGGGGGCTAATGTATCAAGAATTCACCTGGGGTATCCAGTACACTGATATTGAGGACTACCCATGTGGAGCATTAACTCCACTAATGTTTAACCAAAAATTTTTAAAAAGAAAAAAGAGGATGTGTTTGAGTCAAGTCTTGTCTGAAGGGATGTAATATTGTTTAACTGGTCATTATAAGTGGTTCCAATGAGTAGATGGGAGTATCAAAACCCTCTAAAAAGATATTGGCCCTAAGTATGATAGTTGTGTTTGCTGGAAAAGAGATGAGCGAGTTGAGGTTGTTATCTATTCATGGTAGCCCAATCCAGTTTTGTTCTTTTTGTATAGCCAGTGACATCATGGTTTTCATGTCCTGTATCCACCCTTGCAATTACTATGCAACTTATAGTGAACCCCAGATTTTTATGGGTACTGAGGAAAAGTATTCAGATATGTGAGGTGACCAATGGAAACTTGTTTACTTTTTTTACTAATGTGAGCTCTATCTGTCCAATCATAATGCAAGAAACTTTGTGCTATTAAAAATTCAGGATCAAACTGAGGTAGACAAAATTCTCTAGAAAAACCCAAGACTGAGTACTATTAGAGTAAGCAAAATAACAAAGAGAGTAAAAAAGTTATCTCTTGTTATCACAGACACTCTGTGTTATTTCTCTACAATGTGAAATTATAGTACATTGGTTTTTCTTTCTTTCAGAACTTTCTTGCCATTGGTAAGAAGTGTATTTCTTGACTTTATGATCACTAGAAGTCAAAGTTTTGTTTGAAGAGAAATATTACAAGTAGGGAAAATGAGTTTGGGATATCTCTTAAAGTTTTCTTCAAGTTGGTTTAAGGAAAGTGATAAGACTTTATTAGCAGGAGGTATAAAAACTTCTTGTGAACATCTTTTTAGTGTATGGTCAGAGGATTAGCAGAAAGAGTTGACTGATTATTTTTGTATACAATAGTATTATATAATTTTAATGTAATATATAATATATTAGAAGATAGAAAGTTATTTTTAAAGCTAAGTTTAAATTATTATAGTATTATGAAATCTTTCTATTCAACTTTTTTGATAAATAAAAATTTATAGATATATAAACAAAAAGAAAAATACTAATATGATAAGATTTAATAAGATATTTTAATTAGTAATAGAAAAATTTAATTGATTTCTATTTTACTTTTTCAATTGAATTAATTTATATATCAAGTTTCATAAAATTAATAAATATAAATAAACAAGTCTTTAGATAATAAAAAAATTCTTATTTATTTAAGTTAAAATCTTTTTTTCTTATTATCCTAGTTAAACAAAGTTCAGAATCAAAAACTTTTTTTATTTTGATTAAACAATAAGATTAGATAGTTTTTAGTTTATACTGAGCTTCAACTTTTTAATTATAATTGAAAAAATATTTTTTTAGAAGACATTGTAGTTACTGTAATAAATATCTGCTACTATATTATTATAAGAATAATAAAAGATATTCATTAATATGATTTCTTTAATTAGATGTAGCTACTAAAAAATCACGATCTAACCTGACTATGGATATTACAAAAAAAAAGTATATGAACTAAAACTTTAAAAGCAACTGTAACTAATTTGACAAAAGGTTAAAAAAATAATTATTATAATAAATTTAATAATATAATTATAATACATGCAAACGTTTTATTATTTCAATGAAATATTTATTTTACAAGCGTTAGAAATAAAACATCTGTATAGTAAAATTGGTTTTATATTTCATTAAGTTCTATTAATATTATATTATGACAAAATATTAACATTTTACTCTAATGATAACGCGTCCGATCAACGCAATTGGAACAGCCGACATACGAAGATTGTCACACATTATCACATTTAAGGTAATTATGCCGTGCAAAATTAATAAATATTAAAGATTTTAACTTCAAAGATGATTTCTTTTTATGGTAAGCTTTGATATGATACAAAAGCTCTTTTGATTATTTTGCTTCTTTTGGAGATGCTCCTCGTTGATTGGTTGTGCCATTATTGCTAGAAGCGGAGGCGCTGTTTGTTTTTTCACTGGACGGTGCCCGGGTTGGTATTCCAGATTTTGTATTGCTCACAGGTTTTATTTTTGATGATGGGGAGTAAGTTGGAATAGATGTCGTTTTAGGAGATGGCACTTTAGAAGCAACAGTCTTTTTATTTACTGTTGGATAATTTCCAGCTGGCTTCCATGGCGGGTTGATGTAAGGAGGTGGCTGATAAGTAGATCTTCGATGACCTTCGCCATCGAGCAAAGTTGATCGAACTTCCTCCGTGACTTCACGCAGATTTTGAAATACTGTATTTTCTACCAAATCTTTTCGTTGGTTGATCATCTATATTTCGATTCAAGTTTTTAATTATAAATCCAAACTTAAAACAAGATAACTGAAACCTTCAACGCACCTGCAACCCACTAAGTGCTTTATTTAAAAGTGCTTCTCGCTTTTCAATCGTCACACATAATCTTTTGTGTTCTTCCATCAGACTAGCGAACTATCGTATATAAGACATTTTTAGAATTCAATAAGTAAACAACTTTAACTTTATCTTCAAAATTCCATAATAAAACTAACCTGTTCTTCCAAATTTTTTACTCTTTGCCTTTCATTGTCAATCGATTTATTTTTCTCTTCGAGTTGTTCACGAAGTTGTTCATTGAGCATAGAGAAGGTATTTTCGGCTTTCGCTGCTATCACCTTCGACTCGTTAGTTGCCTGCATAAATATTAAAATTAAATTCAACATTTTGATTATGATCCAAATTATTCAATGCAAAGGTTTCCTAACCTCCATCGAAGCTTTTTGAATAGAAATTAATTCTTGCAATTGTACGTTTCGTCGATTTTGTGCTTGTAGCTGCGTCTCGAGATCCCTACAAAAAAAAAATTTGTGCCAATCATCAAACTTGAAACACGTCGTTTATAATGAAAGACCTACTTGATGTTCTCAATCAATGATTCAACTTTTTCTTTGGCGCCTTGTTTCTCCACTTTTAACCTTTCTTCAGCCTGCCGTACCTTGAACTCTAAATCTTTGAGGCGTGAGTCATACTTTCTCTCGTCGTCTTTCATTTGTGATTCGAATGTTCTAGTTCGTTTGTCGCTTTCTTTTAATTTATTCTCAAGTTCTTCAGCACGTACACTTACAGTTCGAAGTTCGTCAAGTTGCTCACGCAGAGTTGATAACTGTTCAATAAGTTCTTCGTTTGTATTCTACAAAAAAAGAATTTTTATTTAACATGTTTTCATACATTCGTTAGTGTGAAAAATAAATTATACATACCCTCGCGGCTTCGAGCTCTAATTGATTTTTCTTTGCTTGTTCCCGCCAATCTTTCTGGGCGGTAGATGCCTTTTGTACCATCCCTTCGAACTTACTCAATAACCTTAATTTTATATCCATCTGACTCTTTAGCGACCTATATTAAGACAAAAAATTATTATATATAAAAAGAATGCTGGAGTATTTAATTTAATTAAATAGGATATCACTCACTCATATTGTTCTTGCCAACGATTATCAATTTCTTTGGCTCGTCGGTCAAAGGTATTATAAACATGACTAAGAGTCTTAAGCTTTGCCAATAAATGCTCATGGAATTTCGCGAAATTAGAAGAAGGTTTAGGGTGAGTAGACTGAAAACAAATAGATCTATTAAAACCAATTATGAGAAACCAATAATAAGATTCTGATCATAAACAGGAAATAGTCTGTTACTTGTTTGCTTGTACCATCTGACATTATAGTGTCTAAATATTGAAAAGTGGTCATCAATAAAGTATTGCGCTCAATAATCTGATCCCTATATTGTGTTTCATTTGAATATGTTGACTATTAAAGAAAAGAAGTTAGTTCTCTGATAGAATATTAATTTTGTGTTTGGATCCCAAAAGATACCTTCTTTTCTTGAGTTAAATTATTCTCCAAATGAGCAACTTGAGCTTTTAGCTCATCAATTGTCGAATTCTTGTCTCGAACATCCATCTGCAGGTTGCGGAAAACTTCTTCACTTTTAGAACGGGCGGCCTCGCTCGCTGACAACTTTTCATTCAATTTCGTGCGTAAATTATTCTAATAATAATAGAATTTTAATTTGTATCAGTAAAAACTGTTCATTAAATACTATTCCCTATTACAAAAAAAAAAAAAAGAAAAAAGCAATACCAAATGTTTAACTTCATTCTCATATTCCATAATTTGTGTCTTTTTATTTTCGAGCTCATCTCCAATGACTTCAAGTTGTGAACGTAAATTTTCTGTTTCTTGGCGCATCGTGTCCAATTCCTAAAGGAACAAATGTAAATAAAATAAATTGGAAAAAAAAAATTTTTCCTTAATAACGCAGAGACGTACTACACGAAGCCTTTCTTGTTCCTTTACATATCGATCGGCCGCATCTTTTGCTCGATTGGTCTGATTACCAAGTTGTTGCCTAACATATTGGAGGTCAGCATCACGTTCTTGGATAGTCATGTTAAGATCAAGTATCTGTTGTTCTGCCGTCGATAATTTCTCACTCAGCTCATTCAATTTTTGATCTTGCTGCTTTTCAACATCCTTCTTCTCTTTGCGTAATTTTTCCAAATCTTTTTCATGGCTCTCCCTTTCACGACTTCTCTCATTTATCAACTCCTTTTCTCTAACTTCA